AGGACACGGATCGGGCGCTCAACGTCACCCTGCAGGTCACCCTCTCCCAGATCATCGACATGGTGAGCAGCCTGGCACGGCACCAGGCTCTGCCCCGGGGCCCTGCCCGACCCCGGGCTGGTGCTCAGCCCTTGAAACCGGCCCAGACACTCCAAGACCAGCCCAGCTGCTCCGAGTCAGCTCAGAGCACTTGAAGACAGCATGGACCCCTCCCCAAACCAGCCCAGCTTTGCCCCAGTCAGTTTACACCTCTTGAAGACAGCTCAGACCCCTCCAAACTGCACAACCTTCCCTCCTCAATGAGCTCAGCCCCTACGAAGCCAGCTCAGACCTCTCCAACCCTCCCCAAACCGACAGGACCCCTCAAAACCAGTCCTGCCCCTGGGGACACTCGGGCTGGCAGCTGAGAAGGGTGGAGTATCACTGGGGTCTCTCCCCCTGTGCCCACCCTCTCCCCTCGGCAGGATGAGAGGAACCAGGTCCTCACCTCCTACCTGTGGGTGCGCCAGGCCTGGTTGGACGCTCACCTCACCTGGGACAAGGACGACTACGACGGCATCGACAGCATCCGCATCCCCAGCAGCTACGTCTGGCGGCCAGACCTAATCCATCCGCATCCCCAGCAGCTATGTCTGGCGGCCAGACATCATCCTCTACAACAAGTGGGTCAGGCTGGGGGAGGCTGCAGGAGGGTTCTGGTGTGGGTGATGCAGGGAGATGGTCACCCCAGCGGGGGGACATGGGTGGCAGATGGGGTGGGAGCAGCCTGGGTCTTGATGTGTGGAATGCAGGGAAATGGTCACCCCAACTGGATGACATGGGGGCAGGGGGGGCTGGCAACATCCAGGTGAGACCGGGACTGACACCCCCCACTGTGGGTGGGACAGGGACTCCAAGTGATGCAGGGAGGGGACATGGTGCTGGGGACACGGCTTTGCGTGGGGGCCACTTCTGCCCCAAGGCCGTCCCTCCCCCTGCAGCGCCGATGAGCACTTCGGCGGCTCGATGGAGACCAACGTGGTGCTGCGCTCCGACGGGCACATCATGTGGGACTCCCCTGCCATCACCAAGAGCTCCTGCAAGGTGGATGTCTCCTACTTCCCCTTCGATGGGCAGCGCTGCCGCCTCACCTTTGGCTCCTGGACCTACAATGGGAACCAGATCGACCTGCGCAACCGGCTGGACACAGGGGACCTGACAGACTTCGTGGAGAACGTGGAGTGGGAGGTGCTGGGCATGCCAGCCACAAGGAACGTCATCACCTATGGCTGCTGCTCCGAGCCCTACCCCGACGTCACCTACACCTTGGTGCTGCGACGCCGAGCCTCCTTCTACGTCTTCAACCTGCTCCTGCCCTGCATCATGGTCTCCTTCCTGGCGCCCCTCGGCTTCTACCTGCCTGCTGACTCGGGGGAGAAGGTGTCCCTGGGGGTGACGGTGCTGCTGGCCCTCACCGTCTTCCAGCTGCTGGTGGCAGAGAGCATGCCACCCTCGGAGAGCGTCCCACTCATCGGTGAGCCTCGACAGCTCCCGCCACCCTCCCGTGGGGTCTCCAGGGGGGCTGTGCTGGGGGAGAGGGCTGTGCACAGGGATGGGGGTGCAGAACCTCTTCTGCCATGGCATCAGTGCCCGCTGCCCACGCAGGGAAGTACTACATCGCCACCATGACCATGATCACAGCCTCCACTGCCCTGACCATCTTCATCATGAACGTGCACCACTGTGGCCCTGGGGCCCGGCCCGTGCCCCCCTGGGCACGGAGACTCATCCTGCACCACATGGCTCGGCTCTGCTGCGTCTACGAGGTGGGGGAGAGCTGCAAGAGCCCCAGGCGGGCACTGGGCAGGCAGGATGGCAGGGGGGACGCTGCAGGGC